TTAAAAAATAAACCTACGTCATTGAGTAAAAATGAAGCTCTCTCATTAATTATTTCTTCATCATTACCAAAATCACAATGCCATTTACTTAGGAAAAAGGCCAAATAGCGTCATTTTGATTTATACCTCTTGTGTCAAAATAGCAAAATATAAAGCAATTTATATTTATTTATATCTATAAGTTTAAAAAAAATATATATATATCTAAATCAGATATTTGTACGAGGCCTCAGAATTGTTTCTGTGAAGTATGTTTTTGAGCAAACATACAGGACATGCACAAGCCTATATTAACTTTGTAAAGGAATACGAATTATTATTTTAATAATTATTATGTAAACAATAGATAATTTTATAAGAATTCTGAAAAAATCAAAGTTTTGGCTATTTTCATTTTTGAACTACTGTGTGATAAATACGAGTATCGCAAAAAGCCGCGATTTTCATTGTTTGGTTAAATACCATAAAAGCATAAAATACTATTGTCAAGTAAATGATAAATATGATATATGGTATACATAACTAAAAAAAGCTATTCGTTCTCAGTATTTATAAGAACAACCGTGAATTTTTTTTTTTTTTAAAAATATTGTACAATATTCAATATTATTGAAGAGTCGTCGGTTAAAAAAAAAATCTCTAAAACATGTGATACCTACGGTCAACTTATTACTTAAAATAATAAAATTCGAGTTGCTGTATTGTTCGATATAAACTCCATTTCTTCTACACGTTAACGTTTTGATCCAGAAACCTATGGTTTCAATAAATAAATAAATTGGGAAAATATTAAATCTTGAATTCAATAAAAAAAAAAAATCCATCGCTTTTATCGATTATTCAATTTCGTGTACCTAATTATTAGCATCAAAAGATTTTTTTTCCCGCAAACAAGAAAATGTCCTTCTCAAACCCAGGTAAATTTAGGGAAGCCACGAGGAATGTTTTCATTTTGATAAATCTCATTGTCATGTGCACAATTTTTTGTGGAAATAAAAAGTATTGAGGGTTAGACATTTGGCCGAGTAGTCCGATTGAAACGTTCGGTTCCGCTCATGCCAACGGCACAGATATAAGCAAACCATGACGAACACGGCGATGTGGGACCACAACAATGTGACGCATGTACGTTGTTTTATGCGTACGGTGCGTGCGTATACATATCGTGCGTTCGGACGAAAATAGAAAGAAAAGAAACGGAACAGGTGGCGACGACGGTATTTTATCGACAGGGACGGAAGGGGTTGTGCGTTATAGGGTAGGGCTGTGCCACGACCGTTAAACGTTTAGTTAGAGTTTTTTTTTTTATTTTGATGGGCAGTAAACGCGTCCGCGGAGGGCGTGTGGTGCGCTTTCGGCGTTCCGTTGCGCCGGCGAGCGGTGCACAGCAGTCTAGACGGCTTAATATATCGCGTACACGAAACCGCTTCAACTGCCGCCGCCGTTGTCTGGTGTGCACACGCGTTGCACAGACGACGTGTAATAATAATATTAACAATATAATATCGCAGCAGCCACTAAAAACGTCCGTAAACGTGTACACGAAAACGTACGTACATAGTCTGCCCGCCGCCGCCGCAATAACAACAATGAAATCGAAAACATATAAAACACTCGTACGGGACGGCGACTGTGGAAGCTGTACCGGTGGAAACGCGTAACGAACAGTGTCTGCGATTTATTTACGATTTTACGATTTTCGTATTTTCTTCCTCGCAATCCCGACGGTAAACGACCGAAATGTAACGCATAGTTTTTCGACCGACACGCGAAACGTGCCACTGTTCAACAGGACTCCGTTCCTAGTGCGACATACAACTTACTTGATCGTTATGTGCTTAGAACGCTTTCGAATAACCGCGATCACAGCCGCTCAAATTTCGACAAACAAAGAAACAAAAAATATTAATAAGATGTATACACTTTATCTTATTCGGTGTTAGCGTACAACTTTCAATTCCCTTGAAAATCTCGAAAGCAAAAACAAAAGGATTTCATTCAGAAATGCAACTGTCAGTTCCAAAGCAAATATTCGGGTTCTGAAAAACTAGTGCATCCAATTTGAAATCAGTTATTTAACTGTTTGGTTTTCTCCGTTTGTTGAAAAACACCTTTCCACGTGAGACTAATGTCCGCGAGTAAAAAAACCGATTCGTGCAGTTCAAATTTAAACAATCCGAGTGAACACCGAAAAGCCTACGGTTGGTGTACTCTTCAAAACAGGTTTATGATTGCACACTGAGAATTTCAGGGCACACGCTTCGTTTCACGGTACACGTTTCCAAACGTAATCCAAGCCCCTTGTACCAGCTACCCAATACCGTGCATGTACATTACGCTTCACCTGTGTTGCGGTGTGCACTGCGTACAATGTGTACAACAATGTGCGCGACAAGAACGTGGTATTATTCAATGCGGTCTGAACGCGATAATATCCTATCTTTGCGGTACATCACGCGTGCATCGGACTCGCGCGCGTGTAACGAGTTTCAAGCCCCTAAACTTTTAGCGGACACCGCCGCGTGCGATTTTGATGATTTCAACGCGCGCGACGAGTTCAAAAATAACGATTCACCAGTGCATTTACAAGTGCAATTCAACAGAACGCATTGCGCGTGTACGCACAAGATTTTTACGCTGAGATGTGCTGCCCGTGTCGTAACTCGCGGCGTGATACCGAGAGACAACAGATTTGACGTCGCGAAATCTGTGCAACATTTTCGTGCGCACGGGAGGATTTGCGCGGCAAACTTTAAACATGATTTTACCGGACTGTTCGTATATTATAACCCGCACGACGGCCACGTCTCGGTAATTATTGTTTACGTTTACATTATAATGTACTGTTAGTACACTGTTAGTTTGCGATTGAGAGATTGGCGACGATGCGAAACAATAGACCGTATTATTCACGTGAGACGCAGTAAAAAAATAAAAATAACCACTATTTGTTCACGGTACGTAAAAAAAAAAAAAAAAAAGAAAAGATATTGCCGTCGGTGGCGGGTGTGTTCGAACAGTAAATAATAATAATAAAAGTAGTGATAATAATAATAATAATAATAATAGTAATAAAAATCGTCGTCTCCGTTGTGGGTTACCTGCAACGCGCGCGTACATAGGAATAATATTCTTATCCGAACGTTCAAGGCGATTTTGTCGCGACGTCCACGACGTAATAATGTTTATCGTTTTTGGCACATATATAGTAATGCGTATAAAATATCATAGGCGTGTCTACGGCGGCACCCTAGAACGTCTGCGTTGCCACTGAAGTTTTTGAAAGGCGCCGGTGAACTGAAATTTAAGGCAGGACGGATTATGACCAGGTCTGTGGTGAATGCTACGAATTACGTATGCGACAACCATGCCAATGGATACTGATGAAATATGCTCTTGAAAATCGATTTTTTTTTTCCGTACAAATTACGACCTATGGCTTTTAAGTTTGATAAAATGTCAGCTCGTTAATCTATCGCCGAACGTTCAGCTAGGTTCCAGTCATGGGCGTAACTTGGAAAATTATTAGAGGGGACGAATATATAGTTACATATCAACTGGTCTACATAGTTAACCATACATTACTTACTAGTGAATTTATGTTAACATTACCTTTTGTTGTACATTAGTATAAGGTGATCAATATTACTAAGTAAAAAAAAAAAAACCGTATAGTAATAGCTATAGCCAGCTGTTTTGTACTTATTTTAAAACAAGGCATGTTAAATATCAGTGGGGGCACTGCCTCTCCTAATTTATTATAGAAGGAGTAATGGCTCCCTCCTTGTCCCTCCTCCAGTTCACGCCTATGGTTCCTGTTGCGGGTCAGTCATAGTCAAGCCTACATAAAATATGTACGATTGTTACCATCGATGAACGTAGTCTACCGGGTGATCGGAATCGGAAAAAAAATTAAATCCCGCTATGCATTTCAATATGCTAGCGTTTATCTCGAGACGATCGCGAGTACCCAGTCGTGAAGAAAATAAATTACGAACCGTCGAGAATATACACACGCGAAACGCACTACACTTGCGTCCTAAACAATCAGTTCAAAAAAAGCTCAACAACTTAACCGGTGTTTGCAATCGCGATTCTCTGTATTTGGTTTAATCCTACTGAAATCGATTTCATGTCAAATTTTTGGAAAAATATTTACACTTTTTGTCGGTTTCGCTCGAGCGTGTTGTTTGAGAAACTATTGGAAACCGTTTAGATCTCAGATTATATACCTACGTGGACAACTAGAATAAATATACGGATTTTTAACAGTATATATTAAAATCGAATGGCTTCATCCGCGCGCAATAGATCTCACTCGTCCCACGCATTCGAAAGCACATATATCAATAACTATACATTACATACTTTGGAGCCAAATCAAATGTAAACGTCGTGCAGAGAAATTCGATTTTAGACATTAATTGCTTACAAATTGATGACTCGCAATCATCACGTATAATCTTAATAACTTAATACTTTTATTATGTCCTAAAGATTCAGTTAGAGCGAGTTTTAATACATTTTTAGTGCGCTCGAACTACACACGATAAGAATATTGTCAAAACTGACCATATAAAAGCAACCGATAAAATAATAATTACTGCACTACTCGTTTTTAATTCGCTTCTGGCTCCGGATTGACTTTATAAGTATTGAAATGACCGAGTCACGACATTAAAATAATGTGAAGTAATTTTTTTAATATTATAAAACCATTTTTCATTGTTAGGTCGTTTTAAAAATGTAAGAACTCAATTCAATTAATCGAACGGAGTTATTCAACAAGTTTTTGATTACATCGATTTCGAAATAATTTACACGTATGCGCTATAGTCGTAAATACTACCTAAGCACAATGAGTGGTTTCCCGATAACAGATACTGTACAGACCTTATTGTATAGGTGTATACGTCGTATGTTGTCGAGATTTATTTTAATTTTCTTTTTCTAAAATCCACGAAGTGACTTATACGAGATTTTTTTTGCTGTTAACTCACTCTTGCATCGCCCTTTGTACGCTATCGGTATAGCTTTGCCCACTCGACACGCGGCTTCTCGTAGGTGACACGTGCTCTGGTAAGTCCGACCGTCGGACCCGCACACCAGCTTGGACGGCAACATGCCCGGCGGGCAGTAAGTGGCGCATTGGACGCAGTGCGGCATCAGGTTCTGGTCTTGTAAGCAATACTTGCCTTCGGGGCAGCTGACTTTATCGCAAGAGTCTGAAACGGAAAAAAAAAAGACAAACGATGCGATCAGATCAGCGCAGCGTATTGTAACGAAAACGTTGGTCGTAACTATATCCAAGGAACCGTGACGGGGCGAGTAACAAAAGTTTATCGAAAACTCGATTCGATAATTTTTGCCGATAAATTACAAAAAATATGACAACGTTTAGTCCGAAGACCATAAATAACGTGGACGATTTGTTGTAAAAATATAATTGTTCTGAGACAAGTCACGTTTCATTTTTGCGTCGGAATTTCGAACGACTTTCTTCAGCACCGTTTACTAAACCGTCACGATAGCCCGCGTAGTTCAGCCTCAAAGCGGACAATGGCTGTTGGTTTTGAATAATCTTAAATATTCAAAAGGTGTATTCGCCCTCGTTAGCGGCAGTTGAAATAAAACGGGCGGTGTATAATAGACCGCAAGCGAAAAGCGTTTCTAAAAATCGTGCCGGGTTTACAACGAAAGTAATGTAACCACTGGCCGAGTTCACCCCCCCTCCCCCCGCGACGGCGTAACTACCGTTCGGGGCATCCCCTTCGGGCCATTTTCCACCACCGCGCCCGTTGCGAACTTACTCTGGCACAGTCCGTGGTAGGCGACCGTCAACGATTGGTCTCGGGTGCGGCACGATCTCTTTTTCAGCCTGCAGTGCGACTTGTACGACACCCCGTCCGTACCGCAAACCGGACCCTTGGCCCGGAGCCCGTCGTGCCGTTTGCAGTTCGGCGAGCAGATGCACTTTGGCGAACCGGATCGCATAACGCACGCCTTCCCGGCACCGCATTCCACGTCCGTGCACGAACCTGCGAACGAAACGCCGATGATGGAATAACGGAATAAACCGTCGATACCACGAGCGCGCACGATTGCAACAATAGCTCAACGACCATTTGCACCGGAAGGCTATCGGTCCACGCGTTTTCGCGAAGTGCCCAAGTGCACTACAAAGGCGGTGCTACACGATGTGCCGAACGTTGAAACCAATGTTTGAATTGCGGATGCGCAGCTACACGTTGCAGCCGACGTGGTCCAGTGTCACGTTGGAATGTTGGATACGAACACTTCCCTCCGGCGAATATCTGCGGGTGAGCTTATACGCACTCAAAACTTAGTTTAACTTAAAAAAGTAATAGAAAAATCAAACGGATGACGTGATTGCAACTGTGATTGTAATTTTACTATTTTATGGTAAGTTACTAATTCAGAAGAAACAGAGAAAAATACGTGCAAGGAGGTATGTTATCGTAATTAAACAGAAGTATCGAACGGTAATTGAAGACTGGATGCAGGACTACACTTGTTACATCGTGTAGCACCGCTTAAAGAAACCGAAGGATGTACGACGCGAATCTATGATTGTTACTGTTACGGCAAATGTTATAAAGGCGGTGCTACACAATGCGTCTTTAAACTTTGGCCACTTAATCCGTACGTCAAGCGAAAAATTTTTGTGTTCAACATTAGCGTTGGAACGATTCCCGTTTGAAATCAGTATTTTTGACCCACGTCAAAGGAGTATACAACGTTGGAAACAAGTTGTAACTAGTATTTGGTATACGGCTACACGATGGGACATCTGTAGTCCTATATCTAGACTTGAATTGCAGTCGTCACCATGTAAAAAAATTTTGAAATTTAGTAAGTATTTTTTTCATTTGTTTTTAGTATTTCGTAATATATATCAATAAATTGTATAATGTAAATGCACATAAGTTATAGGAGCTTGAAAAATGTCGATTATATGCCTATAATTATAATACAATGTTGCGTCTAATAGCTTTTATTCTTACATAGAAATGTATTTTATGGTATCTGTAAGACAGTAAAATTATAGTGGCAGCAGTTGAAATCACGTAATCCGTTATCTTTTTCTACATTCTTCTTCTACTACTATTTTAAGTTGAAATAAGCTTTTAATGTGTATAAATGCGTAAAAATATATACACTGAAGGGAAGTATGCATCCAACATTCCAACATGACACTGAATCCAACGTTAACAGGTGACGTTGACGTTGACGGTGTAACACCGCCTTTAAGGTCGAACGTCACGCGGTGATTATCAGTGAAACACGATACCTTTGCATCTGGTGCACGGTATACCGTCGCCCAATACGCTCCAGAAGAATAGCGCGCCCGAGTCCAAGTCAGTCGGACTCCAGGACGTGGATACGGAAGTGCCGCCCAGCTCGCAACATTGATCTTTTGACACACGCTCAGCCAACAGGTCCTTGCAAAGGCCGTTTTTACCTATCGATCCCCAACACATACCGCCTGCAACAATGACAATGATGAGATTAATGATAGTTTTTCGAATTCGTCTAAATGTTATGTAAAATATAAAATATATAATTGCGCATGTATCACGCGATAACATGATCACACAGAGTTAAATTTATAAAAATAATATATTTATAGGGTTGTGTTTCGGTTGACGCGTAGAGAACTTGTAACGTTAGATTTATTTATTTATTTATTTTTTGTCTAGTAAATTATAACAAAAGCATATCAAGTGAATAAAGTCCTTATATGGATCAGTACAGTAACGCCTTTAACCGTAAATCAATTGTCAAATGTACCGTCATAATGTTCAAGACCAAACTGTTGAAGTCGAAGATGGTTGTAATAAATCACCAGAACGCTGTCCCAGTGCGTAGTCAACGTGTTTTTAATTCGAAAGCACAAAATACAAATTTATAGTGCACTTAAAGACAATAATATCAAAATATTTTAACAATGTCGAAGAGCCAACTTCACGTGCGCCACTTAAAGTGATAAAATTCAAAAAATTAACTATATCAAAATTTAAATCCGTCCGGTGGAAAGGAAAAATTCAAATTATAGGGCGTTCGAGTGTTTCGTGCACCGAAAACGAGAAATCTTCGTAAAATGTCTATACGGTACATTATTAATATCACATGTACTATACACGGTATACCTTCACCGGAAAACACGCTACGAATCCTGGGGGGGTCTACAGAAATAATTACGTGTAACCTTATAGGTAACTTATAAGTTATAAGTGAAACGTACCGTACGTCGTATACGCGTAGGTACGTACATATTACGATAAATGTATATATATATATATATATAAATACATATATATGACCAACGTGCTTACTACGCTGTTTGAACTCGGACGGGAAAAAAATATATACGTTTATATTAAAATGTGCTCGCGTCTCGGCTGCTCTAATGACGAACGATTATGTGCACCGCATACGGATATCATTGCGTACGTTTGTACGTGGACCGCATTGTCTGCGAGTTCATTTAAATGTGTATAATAACAACGATAATTGAATAATGATACCGCGGTACGATGAACTTCCCGGCAATGGTAAAATTACTAACCGTTACTGTCAGATTGTTTCCGTTGTGCGCAGTATGATGACGAGCATTTTACAAACTTTATTGTCGGCCGTTGCAACCAATTTACGTACGTATCTGCCAGCTGCATTTACGAACTAATCGCCGTGTGACGGATGCTTTATGCCGTTATTATAGTTTCGGAATATTTTCCCCTGGTTCGTTGCGGAACAATCATGTGTATGTAACATACACATGTTAGGCACGTAAATCGATCATAATTTTAATATTCATATTATACTTCGGTTAAATAATAGTAGATAAATCGTATATAAGTAACAGTATCGTTCGATTATTATCCTTTTACCCGAGTTCCGTTTCGCGGAAAACATAACCCGTTACCGATCCGTCGTGTATCATCGCAATAAGTTAGCACTCGGGTTTCAGGACAAGCAATCTTGTGCTTTTCCGCACTCCAAAAACACGTGTTATACAAGAAGAACGAAGTTCACGCTCGGGCTAATTATAATATTTATCTATAGGTTTTCGCGGAAAACTGCCCGTTCACAAAGCGTAACGACCACATAACAGTCGACCGGATACTCATAGGGTTGATTGTAACGAGCAGACGGAAAATGGTGGGACACGCACTTAAACATCCAGAAAAATAGCACAGTACTAGAAGGTATGGTTGAAGGTAAAGGACCACCCGGGTGACCTCTCAGTACATGTACCTGATCAACTGAACTTTGAACCTATAGTAATGGCGAGTAACCGTGAATTATGTAGAAGAAGAGTTACGAACCAGCCTTAGAATTGGAAAAAAAACAGTACGCATCGGTCGGGAAAAGTGGTGTTCCCGGGGGGAGGAGGGTTAAGAAATTCAGCCGAACGTATATGTTTTTCCAACGGAGTGCATTCTGAGGAGAAAAATCATCGTGAAAATTTTTTCCAAGAAGACCGAGGTCATTTTAGGGTTAAGGATGTGAACTACGGGACAACCACAGATATGCGATCGCACAACAAACACATAGCTCTCGGTCCCGTATCGCTTATCACCTTTTGTGATTTTGGTATTACGAAATATTTTTGATGCGATACTTACCGTTACATATAATTTTAATGTTATTGATAATCAGAATGTTACAAATTATTAGTACTACACATTTTGTGAATATTTTAATATTGTGACAAATATCCTTAAAATATTTTAGGAATATTTTTAAAATTCAGTCTTATGATAACAGTATACCTGAAGTATTTTCTTAATGTCATTATTATTAAGAAAATTACAGTATTGAGACAAAAGTATAATTATCATTTTATTCAACGATAATTGTCTATCGAATATATATTTGTGTTTGTCGCTTGGAGAACGCAATTTTTGTTGGTTTTCTTTTCTATCGAAATTTATTATATATTATTACCATTGGTAATTTACCAACCATTACGGTCAGTACGAAATCTTGATTTTGCTCATTTAAAAAGTAGTAAATTTAGCGCTTGGATTTTGCTTTTGCCTTTAACCAGTAGCGGTATTTGTTCACCGCGTGGGAATTACTGTCTTCAAGAGGGCGTGTTACCACTATTATGCTATCGAAATATCTCAAGTGTACATATTACTGATATCACGAATCGATTTCTATAGTGTAATGGAAAAATATAATGTAAAACATGTGTGGAACGCAAGATGGTTTTAGAGTTTGAAGGTTTCCCCTGTTATAAAACGAGAAGAAAAAAATTTGGGTTGGACATGCTAAGATGCTGTTAGTCAAAATGTTGGTCAAATTTTTGGTTAGGTCGAATAAAATATATTTTTCGACATAATTAATCAAGAACAAATTAAACTATAAAAAAATATGTACCCGTTATAAACATACAAATACTATTGTTGTTTCTGATATGTTTTTCTGCGTTAAATCTTTACGTAAATCATGAAAAATACATAACGCTATAAGTATAATAAATTATTTATATCATTGTATATAATAATAAAACAAATACGTTTTTGTAAACTTCATAATCTAACGTACAAGTATGTAAATGTTTTTTTTTTTTTTCACAGAATATTTAGTTTTTTGTTCGCGTCACATTGTAGGCTTAAATTGTAATACATTTTTAGTTAAATCAAATTGGTTTTCGATAAGTACTACAATGCTTTAATGAAGTATAATATTTGATCCGGTTTACACCATCAGATTTTTATATTTATCGGATAGTTTCGAAAAAAAAAAAAAAAAACTATCAAAAGTTACGAAAATGTTGGAATAAAGTTTGGATAAAGTATTTTTTTTTTTTTTTTATAAAACTACCGAACGCGTGTAAAATTTATAAATAATAACTATAGAGGAGGTCCACCGAATTATCGCGAAAATTGCATCGCTAACACCGCTTAGTACCAGCTCGAGATCACTCGTGGCACCGCGGATAGCTGTTTTGTACATTACGCAATAACGTGTGCGCGAGCGCGCGTGTATGGGTGGAGGGGGTGGGGTGTTTTGAGTCGACGTGGAAAAACCCAAACGATTAGTCATATTATCGTGCCACGCGTACATTGCGCAACACGAGATATACACCGTGCACATGTATTATACATTTAATAATCGGTAAAATGATATCGATGGCGTTGCGCTGCTGGACGCGCGCGTCTACGTTTCAAAAACCAGGCGCTGCACGCCGAGGAGGAGTGGTGCCGTCGTTTCGGGCCGAGCGAAAGACCCGCGGTTAGACGCGTTAACATTTCGTTTCGACGAAGTTAGTTTTAAGCTTCAAGGCGCGTTAGTTTTTCGTTTCGCGGACGTCCGCTAAACGGGTAGCTAATCGCGTGAATCGCGTCCGGACGGAGCAACTTTTGAGCGTGAACACATGAATACATTTTCCGCGGCTTTTTTCTTTTTTTTTTTTTTTTTCGAAGCCGCGCGGCATAATTTCCGATCGGCCCGGTAGGCGGTCTACATCAAAGGAAACCCGTGCCCGCTCGCCTACGCCGCGTGTGCTTGGACGTATTTTCGGCGAACCCGCGCGGCATCGGTACTTATTTTTCAAGTAGGTATTTACGTTTTGGCGCTAACCGATTCAATACAAATCGGGAAACGAATGCCGTACGGACGGCAAAAGCCTGGACGCGCCTTACGGTTCGTCGTCGTACCGCCGCGCGACGCGATATCGTTAAAATATTCAGCCGCCGGTCGAATGCGGTATGGTAACGAGACGGTGACCGCGGGGTGCGGAAATTATCAAAAATAAGAATACGAAAACGCGGCACCGCTATCGATAGCGCTGGGGGTGGCCTTGTAAAACGGGTACCCGGGGCGCGTATAAAATGCACGTGCTTCGTTATCGATGTTGTTGTCATTTTTCGATTTGTTCGTACACCGTTTGCGCGTCCGTACAGTTCGACGGGGTTACGGCGTGTTTTGGGACCACGGGAAACCACTAAAACCACGTGCCTACCTTATGTGACCGTTTCCGTTGGTTTACTCGAAAAATTAAGCGCAACAATAAACGCGCGAGTAATCGCATTTTAATTCTCATATTTTTTTAACACATATTATTCGATTGTAGGTACTCGAATTCACAATTAATTAATTCACATAATTATAATTTATAATGTCACATAACTGTAAAAAATTAGGCTGATGTTACTTGTTAAAACAAAAAAAAAAAAAAAAAACGTTAAAATGTGTAAACAAGTATGATCCATAGAGTAATACTGAAAGGACATTATATATTTCAGCTACACAAGAAAGTGAAGATCAAAAGGTGTATGATTGCCAGTCTAAGTTGAAAGTACGAAAAAAATTATTTTACAGTATATGGTAAAACGATTCACCTGTAATGCTGTTATCTTCGTTACTTTTGTTATCTCGTGTGTTATTACCATAGTCACATATCTATAACTGTTGGTTAAGTCACCAAAATCTTGGTATCAAGTCTTAAGTATTCTCTAGTTCTTTACCCTA